CTACACGGGGGGTTGAGAGAGAGGAGAGCCCAAAGACCCTTCAATATATGCCCTGATTCCTCTATTTTTATCAAATAAAATGAGGGAAATACAATATTATATTTTTATCCTTGCCTTAAGAAGGGCAGTGCGAGATATTTTTGTCCTTTCCTCGCCCAGATCTGGTGTTCTGGAGCTTTCGGTCGGCGAGTTTTGTTGGCAGCGGGTGGAGGAGGTGGTCGACTCAAGTGTCCGGGCGGCTGGTGGAGTTGGTCGGCCAAAATGGCCGGTTGGTTGGTGTTGGTGGCCGAGGTGGGTGGCTGACCCAATATGAGGTGATTGGCTCAAGTGGCCAGTTGGTCGACTATAGGTGGCCGACTGACTGAGGGCAGGCGGCCTAAATGGCCGGCTGGCCCAAATGGTCAACCGACTGGAATCAGATGGTTGGCCCGAGTGGTCGATCAATTGGGAGAAATGGCTGCTGGTGCGACTCTGATGGTGGTTCGTTTAACTTGGCGAGGACCCCAATATTTTCATGTTGTACAAGAATAGAGGTTGAATCCTCCTGGGTGCCGAAGCTCATCTACATCATCACCGATGTCCTCCTAGCTGTAAGCAGCTGTTGTATTTTCCAGTGTTTCCGCACTGAATCCTTAGCCTTCTCAGGTTCTGACCCTTTTTTATCATCCCATAACATTTTCATCCCTTTCCTCGATCCTTATGCATCTTATAGGAATCCTAAGTCAGTGTCACATGAACTCTCTCTGTCATACAACTCAAAAAACAACACTATCTATCAAGCAGGACAGCTCTTTGTTCTCACCCTACACAAAATGTACTGTCCTTGTTGTTTGTTTGTTTTATTTATTTTTAACTTTTTATTTTGAGACGCATTAACCCGGGCAAGCTGTTATGCTGCTCTTGTTCTGGCTCTCTAGAAATCTGTTTTGGTGATCTGCTGCTCTTTGCTTTACGTGTGCTGGCCTCTTGTGATAACCTTTTCCAGGATACTATTAAAACACTTACCTTATCATTTCTCTTGCCCCTCTCTTGGTTTTTGCTTTAATCATTGTACAATGTACTATACAGTTTTATTTATCGCCTGGAGGTTGCAAATCTGGTAATGACTGTAGATTCCGTCACAATGTGCAGCTAAACTTCATGGGATTGCCAATACGTCCGGTATTATCTTTTTTCACTTCATCAACATAGAGAGCAATTTTACATGAAGTTTAACATTTGTTGGAAAAAACAGTAGTTTGAAGGTTCTTAGGTTGCCGTATTTCACATGTTTTTAATATTTATTTTTTATTTTCAGAATTTCATCATTTCAAGCTCATCATTTTCAGGGTGAGAAAATGTGTCTGTTTTACATGCGCACTGGCGGCTGCAAGTTTGCAGGCAGTTGTAGGTTTCATCACCCAGATCCTATAGCTGTCGTTGGCGACTCTTTTCAAGATCTTAACATTGATGTGCCTTCTCAGCAAAATGGTCAAGTAGAACAATTGTATAAGACACCAAAGCCCTTAGGAAACACTTCAACTGAACAAACGGCCTTATTAAGCCCTTTAACACCTAACCAGGGACTCCAGCAAAATGAGCATTGGAATGGAAATCAGGTAGTGTTTACCTGAATTATTTCTATTTTTAACAACTTGTTTATTTATTTAATTCATTCAAGTTCCTTGTTGCTTTTAGTTTAAGAAAATGCAGAATGAAGCCTATGCCTTGTTTTGGTAGACCAAGTTAATTGTACATTCAGGATTGTTCTTTGGCATGCATTGTCTATTGATGAACTTGTTTAACTATAGATTTTTGTGTAAATTATCAAAATGGTTTATATACTTTTTAGGGGCTTCTACTTATCCTCTGGCTTTTTTACGTGTTTAAATAATTTGGTTCTATCATCAACTTTGCCATATCGTTAGACGTAAAGTAGTGGAAGAAGGCTCTGGATAATGATATTTTAGATTTTTTAAGGTCAATTCTATTAATTTAGGATGGTATTATTGACGTGTACTGAAAATGTGATGTATATGTTTAATTTAAGCTGATTTTATGTTAATTTTACACTTTTGGAAGTTGTTTGCAATTTTTTTTTTTGCAGGATTCAAGTCAGAAGATTCAGCGGGGTTGAAGAAGCGAAGCATTGAGCATAGGAACAACGTCAAAGCGGAGAGCCGAGGCGCCCAAGGAGCCATAATTCAATTTAGAGTTCAAAGAAGGCAGAAAGTAGATGCTTGGTTGGTGGAGCCTTGGCGCTGCGATCTCAGTGCCTAGGCGCCCAAAACACTTGCCCTAGGACTCGAGTAGGTGGAAATTAAGTGATGAACCACTAATGCCTAGGCATTAGGAACCGGCGCCTAGGCGTCGCTTTCTAGCAAGTTGACTTGTTTTGATAGTTTGAGTGGTTTACAAGCATCAATTCGCAAGGGAAAGCATTAAAAGGCTCCGTCGAAGGAAAAAGAGGCATCAACAGATCGAAGAGAAACACAAAGATATAAATCCTAAGTGTAAGAGAGTGAAGTGAGGAGTGATTGTGAGATTTTTTGAGTGCGTAATTATGCTTGTTATCTCAGTAATTTATTTGGAGAAGGAAGAGAGACAAGTTTGCTATATTCTTGGTGTATTCCATCAGGTTTTAACTCTCCTTTTTGATATTTTTATCAATAAAATGATTTGTGAGTAGAATTATTTTTCTTACTTGAATTAATTATGTAGGAATTTAAAGTTTGGTTTCTCTTGTGTAATTTTACTGAAATTTTTATAAGGTGATGTTTTAACCTTCAAGTTTCATTTACATTCAACCTGACCGATCAGGTAATTAAAATTCTGTGAACTTCGAGTTTTGGAAAAATCCTTAGTGGAACAATTAGGTTTAAATAAATTAACTTAAGAGAATAAGAATATTACTTTCAGGTTAGTGCAATCTTATGGGAAAATAAGGAATCATGTGCTAATCACTTGATTTAGAGAACCAAACATGATTGATTCCCAAACCTTCTTAGACGCTCGAGAGGGGATAAGGAGTTCTGCTCTTGCTTGTCACCTAGAATTATAAATCACGTAATCGAACTTAGATTCTCGCAAAACAAATGCAAGGGAGTAATTCACTAGTATCATAAAACTTTATTGAAATTCTCATCTCGTTAGCTTAGGTTTTATAAATTTGAAAATTAGGATTAGTGACTATTCAAAACCATAGAACTTCATACATTCAGGCAGATTCAAAACCAGTAGGCTAGAAATTTTTCAATATGAGAGTTTGCTCGTTTTTTCGTAGAATCGATATACCGACTCTGTTCCATATACTACTTGACCGACACATTTATTTGCATGATTCATCCTTGCTTCACAACATTTCAGTTCGTGTCAATTTTTTGGCCTCGTTGTCGAGGAACAACATTGAATTTCTAATTTTAGGAAAATTTTAGTCAAACTGTTAGGATGTAAACTTTAAATTTGTATTGTTGTATGTTTACTACAATTTTTGGTTATTTTATGTTTTAATAAAATCCAGAAATATCTTGTGTTGTGTTCTTCCTATTTTACTGCTAAATTAGTGCACCTATTTTTTGTTTTTTCATTATTGTGAAAATTATGTGATTTGCTTGCTTTTTAACTTCAACATGTTTATCTGCTTAGCTTTTTTTTCTGAGTTATTTGTTTGTTTTGAATTGTATAAATCTATTAGTTTAGGGCTATTTGATTAGATTGTTCTGGTTGTGTATGCGTAGGATTGAAACTTTAGAACTAGTACCTTACGAACTTGAACTAGAAAAAACCGTTAAAAAATCAAAAAATTGAAAATACTTAAAAATAAGTTTGGAGAGATGACAAAAATATCTCAGGTAGAACACACACAACTAGACCCAATGTCATGCCTAGACCTCTTAGGGAATTTGTCAATGCATCGGTACAAAAGATTCACTTCAACATCAACAACCTTGCTGTTGAAGCCAATACTTTTGAACTCAAATTGGCCATTATTCAGATGGTATAAAAGACTGTTTGAAGATCACTCACGGAAGATCTTAACCTCTACTTAGCTAGGTTCTTTGAACTTTGTGCTATCTTTCGATATGACGGTGTTTTTGACGATGTTTTACTTTTTTTTTCCTTCTCACTTGGGATAAGGCTAAGATGTGGCTCAATTTTTTAATATTAGAATCTATTACCATATGGAATGAATTAGCCCATAATTTCCTACCAAAGAATTTCCCTCTATCCAAAACTACAAAACTTAGGAATGACATCTCATCATTTACCCAATTAGACGAAAAATTAATCTACGAAGCTTGTGATGAATTTAAGGAGCTATTTAGGAAATGTTTCAACGATGCCTTACCAGACTGACTTATAATTCAAATATTTTATAATGGGCTGTTGCAGCTAAGGTATCACTAATGTATAAGTCATTTGTGGAGGCGTATTCATTGATTGAAGAGATGACAAGCCATTCAATAGAGTTAACCTTAGAAAGATAGCTAGCACACTTAATGTAGACATATTAGCAATTTTAATCTCTCAAGTGGCTGTCATCTCTAGGATCTTAGACAATCCAGCGGTTCAAATATACACGAGGGTCGTTAATAATTGAGGGAAATGATTATGGACAACAAGCTGATCCTAGTGCCATGCTTTTATAATCCATTAATGCTATGACCAATAGGTTCAATAACTCACATTCCATCACCTACAACCCAATTTAGAAGAATCACTCGAACCTTAATTGAAATAACGATAATCAAGTTGTAAGAACTCAACAATAGGATAGCAACCATTCCAACCCATTAGATAATTGGAATGATCAAAAGAGTAACAACCTGGACCGACTTACCCACATGGATTCACTTCAAATGCAATGTTTAAAGAAAAGAAATTATCTTTGAAAGAGATTGTGATGTAAATGGGGAATAAGGGTGCGTTTGGGGCGGCAGTTTACCTGCAGCGCGGCACCGTGCCGCCGGCTTCGTCCGCTTGGCGGTTCACCCGCGGCATCCCACAGTTTGGTGTAAACGCGGAAAGCTCCTCTTTACCTGCAGCCCAGCTTCGTCGATCGACTTTTTACCCCCGTGCCCACTTTTTACTAGTCCTAACCGCCGACAGTAGATTCCGGGAAAGAAGAGCAAGTCGCGACGGTCGTCTTCCTCCTCTTCTCCGCGAAAGGTGAGCTCTTCTCCGACAGCTGACCGTCGTCTTCCTTCACAGTAAGTTTCCTATGCCTCTTTTTCTTCTTCTTCTCTTTGACAAAAATCAAATAACTCGAGGGAGCCCAAAAAAAACTTGAGCGAGGTTTATTTTGAGAAATTCCTGGGTAAATTAATCTTCTGCATAAGCTCAAAATACTAATTTGGTTATTGAGAGTATTATTCCTCTAGATGGAGCACTTCGTTTTCCTTGTTTCGAGCACTTCGTTTTCCCTTTTTTCCTTTTTCCCTATTTTGTATGTAAATCTTCCTTTAATTTAAGGCTGGGTCCAAAGCATTGCTTTGGTGTTTATGTATTGACTTGAGGTAATAAGTTTTGAGTCATAAAAACAATCTTTCAGTTTTATGTAATATTGCATTCATCAACCATTCTGACGTTCATTGGTTGGAGCTTCATGCACTGGTTATGCAAATTCTTAGCCTACTTTAATCTTTCAATTAAATGACAGGCTGTTCTATAATTTCACATATACGATTATGATCCTATAAACTTCAATATGATGGCAGATATTTCATCAAGCTGTAAATCTGCAAGTAAAAAGAAGTATACGATTGGAGTATTGCTGGTGAAACGGAATGAAGATTTGTTCGTTTGGAAGAATTAATGTTCGTGTTGTCTGGGAGAGTTTAATCAGTAGCTAAAGTCATTTTCCAATTCCATTATGAAGATTTGTTCGTATACGAATAATCAGCTTTAAAGCGTTTCAAATACTTAGCATTATAGCTATGAAATCACATTATGGGGATGTTTGGTACCTGCATTTGAGCAAGAATTATCAAGCTTCTACTTTCAATGGAATCACATGCATTTATGACTATCACAGTTCTGTTAAGCACAACATTACAAAACAGGGGCAGAATTGTCATTTCTGCAGAAACAACTACCTCACAGTTGTTTTCACATAGCTATCTCAAACAGGCAGCCAGCTTCCCCACAGCAGCTTTCCCGTAGCAGCTTACTGGGGCAGCGCAGCTGCAACTGAAAAGTTGAGAAGCCGCAGCTGCGCCAAACATAGCCTAAATTGCTTGAATAAATTGCAGAGTCAAGCTGCAACAATGAGAAATATTGAAAATCAGTTATGATGGATATCAAAATCATTGAGCAACAAACCCAAGAAACCCGACCTCGTAATATTGAAGTAAATCCCAAAGAGAAATGAAATGAGCATGTAAAAGCCATTAAATTAAGAAGTGAAAAAGAGTTGGAAGATGTGACTAGGAAGGAGCCTAGTGTGAAAGAAGTTAACTCTGAGTCCGAAAAACTTAGTGACAAACCTACCACGAACTTAGGCAAATTAGACTCATTTCCTAGGAAGGAACCAGAATGATGGCCTCCACCATTTCCCCAAAGGCTTCAAAAACACAAGTTTGATCAATAATTTTTTAGGTTTTAGAAGTGTTTAAAAAGCTTAAAATTAACATTCATTTCGCTGAAGCTTTAGAACAAATGTCCAACTATGTCAAATTCATGAAATACATTCTAAACCAGAAAAAGAAACTAGGTGATTTTGAGACTATAGCTTTAGATGATGAGTTTAGTGCTATTCTCCAAAAGAAGCTTCATCAGAAACTTAAGAACCCCGTGTAATTTTATCATCCCTTGTGTTTTAAGAGAAAAGTTTTTTAGGAAAGCCTTGTGTGACTTTGGAACCAGTATAAACCTTATGCCCCTGTCAATTTTTAGGAGATTAGAACTAGGAGAAGTCCATATTACCACTGTAACTCTTCAACTTGTTGGTCGATCTTTGACTTATATTAGGCGGTTATAGAAAATATCTTCGTTAAGATGGATAAATTTATCTTCCTTCTAGATATGGAGGAAGTTAAGGAGATTCTCATAATCTTAGATAGATCTTTTCTAGTCACAGGAAGGGTGATTGATATTCAAATGGGGCAACTGACTTTTTTTTGTTATTGATGAAGATGTGATATTTAATGTTCTGAAATCGATTAAATGTGCTAAAGAGATAAATTTGCAATATTCTTGGTGTATTCCATCGATTTTTATCCTTTCAAACTCTTTTTTTTTGATATTTTCTATCAATGAAACGATTATGTTGTTGTTTTAAAACATGATTAGTGAGTAGAATTGTTTTTCTCCCTTGAATTGGTGATGTAAGAATTTAAAATTTGGTTTTTCTTGTGTGATTTTAGTGAATATTTATAATGTGATTTTTTAACCTCAATTCTTTCTTTACATTCAACTTGACCAATTGGGTAGTTAAAATTTAATGTGAACTTCGAGTTTCGGAAGAATATTTAGTGAAATAACTAGGTTAAAACACATTAACTTAGAAGAATAGGAATATTGAATCTATGTTAGTGAAATCCTGTAGGAAAATATTGAATCCTGGCTAATAACTTGATTTAGGGAATTAAACATGTTTGATTGCCAAATTTTCTTAGATGCCCGAGGGGGATAATGAGGAAATCTGCTCCTGATTGTCACCCATAATTTTGAATCACATAATCGAATTTAGATTCATGTAGAACCAATTAAGGTAGTTTACTAGCACTAGAAAATTTCGTTAAAATTTTCACCTCGTTAGCTTAGGTTTTAATATTTCAAAAATTTGGATTATTGACTTTTCAAAATTATAGAACTACATACCTTCAGGCTAGATACAAAACCAGTAGGTTAGAAATTTTTTTTTTTTGGAGTTTGTTCGTTTCTCGTGGGATCGATACACGAACTCTGTCTCGTTTATTACTTGAACAAAATGTGTACTTGCGTGATTAGTATCTTTTCGATCAGTATCAATTATGCACTGCAATTGGCCATATAAAATTTAATCCCCTCATAGAAAGATTTTTTTTATTAGTTTCTATACAAGTAAATGATAAAGTCGACAATTGAACTTATTTAGTTCAGATTCTTTAATAGAATAAATTGAATATTAGAAAAATTTTGGAACTAAAATGGACGTGAGCATATTCTAGGGATTATTTTGGTAATTTACTCATAAATTTATTTTTTGTTGCAATGATGACAATACTTAGAAAACGTTTGTGGTGCTGTATTTTTTGTAAGTTGTAAGCCTTATAATACAAACTTATGTTGATATTTGAAAATTTTGTGTTATCTCTTAATGTACAATTTTCATTGACTATAGAAAATTAATCCCAGATGGTACACCTCATTATAATTTCTACATGAACACTCTTTTTTGGATCATTGTTATATAGTTGATGGACTAAATTAGAGAAATGTGATATTCTGGGACTAAATTGGCCGCACATGAATAGCCAAGGGGGCACATTTTTCTTTGTGGATTTTTTTGGCTTAGAAATTTTCGCATGCAAATGCCTCTATGCTTGTTTTAATGAATATATGAAATATTTAAATTTTGTTCATACTTTTTCTGGGCCAGCAGCTAGGCGTGTCCCACAAGGGTGAGAATCCTCCCATTTAGAGTTGCTGCCTCATTTGTTATGTTTTCCATACTATTCCATCTGATTATGAGAGGGTTCTACTTGCATTCGTTGGTGAGCCGCTAGATTTCATATAAGCTCTTTTTTTCCCATTTTTCTTTTAAAGTGTCAATTATTACGTTTTAATATATTTATTTTGTTTAAGTTTGTACTTAGCAACTAATTTTTTCAGTTTTGTGTTATTATTATGTATTGTTATTTTAGTTTCTAGATAAATTTATTAAATTTTGGTTGTACTTTCTTGTCACCCATCTGTAGGAAGTACTCAGAAGTGTGGTGGATCTACCCACCACGCCAAAAAGGTGCACATTGATGATACACGAAGCACTTAGATTAGTTGTCTCCACTTGATCAAGAATTTCATGCATGAACATTCTAGCAGAGTTTTTTTGCATAAGAAAAATATACAAAATAACATTAAGATAATTTTCTCTTCATGTCAAGAAAAACACTCACGAGACATGTGAGGGTAGGTCGCTCTTTGCATCATGCAAATGGTCAACTTTTGGACATATAGAATCGATAAGAGGGGCTGCTGGTAGTGAGAGACAGAAGAGGAATTAAGGGTCATGGAAGGGCTTTGTGAGCTCTTGAGTGCATGTGAAGTGAGATTTGTTGAAATGTAGATGGGATTACTTTGAGGTTGTTTATTTATGGTAATTCCATCCCCCCAAAATGCACGCATGCTCTTATCACCACTAAAGCACCTCTTGTGCCCCAGTGCCTTGTGACAATTTAGAGCTAAAGTGCAATTTACACCCTGGCATTTAGGGCTTATGCTTTAGCGGGTGGTGAGCGGGGGCTTCTGGGGCCATTTCAGCGTTTTAGATGCATCTAGACGTTCTGTATTACTGAAACGAGTAATGGTTGATTTCTCTTTTCATGTGAATGACATATTGAGTTGATTTTTCACAAGACTATGTCACCTTTCGTTATCATGTCATTTGAGTGGGCTGCTTGTGTTGGTAAATAGGCAAAATCTAATTTAAACATCGAAACTGAAAAAAAAAAGCTCAAAAAGAAAATCATCTCACAAAAGACAAATTTGTACATGTTTATTCAATTGATGCTGATGTATTATTGTGATCGTTGCTGCTTTTATCATAATTTGATTGTGAAGATTTATAGTCCTAATTCTTCTAGGGAAGCCAAAAAAAAAACTCCAATAGTAAAATTACGCAAATTTTGAAGAAACATGTGGGGCTCATTCTTGCTCATTGGGCAAATATTATGCTCCACAACTTTACAACTTATGGTTCATGTTTGGACGTCAATAAATCTCTCTTTAACATTTATTTATTTTTCATGTAACATGAGAAGATTGTATATTTTTTAAGGTCATGATCATTCGCCTTAGCCCAAATATTTAGGGTCAACTTTTTGAATCCTCTTTCTGTTTGTTTTTTTATAAATTTTGTCTGTGATATTAAATCTATTATTTTCATATCATTTTGAATAAGTCTTCCTTTTTTCCTTTCTAAATCTTCAAGTTTAATTTTACTCGTATTATCAGTGCTTTTTCTTGCCTTTTGTTGTCCATGCCCAAATCGCTTCTGTGTTTTTTTTAGTTATCTTACTTTTAATATATGCCACTTTCAACCTTTCCTCTAATTTACTTATTTCTTAATCCAGATTTCTAATTTTGCCATGCAATCTCTTAGACATATTTCCTTTTGCCACTCTCACCTAGATTTTTTGGATTCTCACACATTAGTTTTGATGTAATGGCAAGCCTGAAGTCCATTCAGGTCTTCTTCAAATGACCAGTTCATCACAGACCCGGTGCTAGTGAGGTCTTCTTAAGATGATTAAATGAATTGTAATGAATTCATGAATTCTTTGACAGCCTTTCAGTGCATTAGGAATTGCTGCTTTCTGCAACGGGTTTTGTGGATGTTGAGGGAGAACAAATCTTATTGTTTGAATCTCTGTTCAGTTTATTTTTTATACCTAGCTGAATAAACAATTTTTTTATTTAAATGAATTTAAACTAAAATATCTGTAATTCTTTGTAATGGCACTCTATGCTGAATCATGACCCCTTGTTTCCTAGATTTCCTCAAGTCCATTGCATGCTCGAGAGATGAATAGAAATGAATTTAATGGCGGTGTGAAGTCACAGCAATTTGATGAATACCCTCAAAGGCCGGGTGAGCCTGAGTGTCAGTATTTTACAAAAACTGGTTGCTGCAAGTTCAAATCATCATGCCAATATCATCATCCAAAATCAAAGGTAATTTTCATCATCCAGTTACCATTGCTATATTTGGTGAGTATTCCTTTCATGATCTTAGATATTGTGCGTCTTTTCAGTATTGCGATCCCATAGAACATTTGTGTGTGACACCATTATCTTTAGAAAACACTTTGGAGGAACAAACAGCCATTTTAGGGCCGTCATTGTCTTATGTTCCAAACCTGTTTACGCCTAACCAGGGATTCAAATCAAACTCTCAATGGAATGAAAATCAGGTAGGTTTGACCTGTATTTTTCTTTTTATGGGTTAATTTTGCTTTTTAATTAATTAATTCAAATTATTGTTATCTTTTAGTTCAAGAAAATGTAGTATGACTCTTGACCTTAAGTTTTCTGATAAATAATGTCAGAACCGGTGCACTTTTTTTTCCATCAGTTCTTCCTGTGTTTTGTTTTGGCATTATTTTAATTTATTTTCTGCATTCTGAAGTTGCAGAAAATAAAACCTTTGTCATTTAATGATTTCGATTAGCTAAATATTTTTTTTTATTTGAATTAAGAAATATCTATTCAATTTATCTGTTGGGTTGTATATTGGTAATAATTGGGCCTTATAATGCAAAATTATGAAGATGTTGTAAATTTTATGTAAGATATTAGTATAAATTGCATATTTCACGGTGAACACCGTTTTGTCTTGCTAGATTTCTGAAATATTTGATTTTTCAATGTTTTTATGCCTTTTTTAGGTTAAGTTAGACAACCAAATTCTTTGAGAAAAATTTTCTCTTTAGACTCCGAACGTAACTCTGCATGCAAACTCCTAGTAATATACCGCCATGTGTGTTATATCGGGCCCACTTAAAAAATATTAAAGTGGAACCGCGGACTCCGCAATAACACCGAAATAACCTCAAAAATAACCTCCGCGGTTCCACTTTATTAACCCAAAATAATTTTTCCGAAATAACACCGTGGATGTTATTTCGGGGTTATTTCTTGGTTATTTCAGGTTATTGAAGAGAAACTCATATATTACACTTCAATAATCCAGAATTAACTCTGAAATAATCTCTGTGATGTTATTTTGGGGTTATTGAAGTGGAACCGTGGAGTTTATTTCGGGGTTATTTATGGGTTGTTGAAGTGGAATATATAAGTTTCTCTTCAATAACCCCGAAATAACATCCGTGGTTCCACTTCAATAACCCTGAAATAACCTCCGCGATGTAGCACATGTGGTAGCATATTATTGGAGTCCGCACGTAGAGCTACACCAGGAGTCCGGATAAAAAATTTTCTCTTTTCTTTGACTGAATTGGCATTGCTGCATAGCTTCAAAATTTTAAAACCTTATAGAAATTTGAGTTATGTGAAAATGTCTTTTTGTGGTTTAATATTCAGACTATACTTGTTATAATTTCCTTAACAAATATTATGTAAGGTTTGATCAAACAATTGTCTATACAGAAAGGCCTTGTACTGGTTCAAACCTTACACGGCTGCAGTTAAAAGAGTAATATTGTGGAAATCTATGCAATAACAAAAATGATACACAGAAGTCGGGAACATTGGTAAAGTTTATTGAGCATGTAATTTATCAACAAAGTAATGGTAGCAAAGCCTATTAATGGCGGTGATGGATTTAGATGTCGTGATCATTGTGGGAAATATGGAAAACTTTAGATGCCATTGAATTTTCTATGAGGGCAAGGTTGCATAAAGACTTCTTGAAAAATTACCATTTGACTGAAAAGTGAAGAACCAATCAGGTAAGGTTAAGTTTCATTGAGAAAAGTGTTAGACTAGTCCTTGATTTTTTGCAAGGGCTCATTTTAGTCCCGGAGTCTATAAATGTACCCATTTAGTCCCCACGCTTTTCTAAAATGAGCTAAAATAATACCCACAGAGAACTATTTCAGACCCAATTTAAATAGTGGGACAAATTTGATACTTCCGTAATGTTCGAGACTAAAATGACTCGTGCAAACAACTAGGGGAGGGGACTATTTTGGCACTTTACTCAATTTTCATTCATTAGGATTCAACACTTCCAACTACGCAAACCAATAAATCGATATGGCTGAAGTCATTTTTGTTTTTGGAGTTGATCTAACGAGAAATTCAGCTGGATGCAATGCTCCATACAAAGTAAAGGATGAAAGGGAACGTATTGCTCTACCGTGGCTGATCTTCATGTGTGGTAAGAGAAATGTTGGAAGTTGGGTTAGTCTATGGAATCATGTCAACTCCAATTGCAAGATAAAGGGTTCAAAGTTCAGGGAAGGTTTATTACTCTGGTTGTATGAACATTCTATTATTATGTTTGATTGGAAGTTGGATGGATTGAGCAAACTATGAATCCATGGTGGATGGATGGAGCTTCACTAAAGCAGTCTGAGGGCACATGTTTTTAATTAATATGCTTTGTTTTTGCTCATCTTGTGCTTCTGTTGAGAATTGCATTTGGCTTAGGGTTCTATTGAGTAATAGGGAATATAGAGAAGTCAAGAGACTTATGTGCAAGAATGTAAAAGTTCTATATAGACTCAAGTCATTAATCAAGAAACAAAGTTTTTTTTCTTTACAATCTATTTGGTTACACAGCCAAACCCTAGCGCCATTACAATATCGCCACTATAGGATTCCCGTTACAGTACCCACCGCCAAATCCACAGGCCCGTGTGTGTTTGTGTGTGTGTGTGTGTTGGGGGGGGGGGGGAGTGGATACCCCACGAATCCCGAGGAGTGGTGATATGGAGACGATCTCGATCTTGAGGGTGAAGTAGATCAAGATCGGGTCCAAAAGAGAAAGAAAATCACGCGTGATCATGACTTGGATCCTTGTGATTGAGGGTGTCAAGAGAAGGAGATGATTCATGAGGTAAATGATTGGAGTTTCTAGGGAAGATACACCCTGAGGTTATGAAGGTCTTGATCGGGCTCATACAGGGAGCTAGCATCTCAACGAGAGCTACTATCTCAGCATGTGATTTAATGCAGACAGTTAAATGTCCCCTTATGTGGATCTGAAATTCGAGGGATTGGCCACATATTTGAGTTGGTTGTGTCAGATCGAGACTGCTATAGTATGGAAGAGACTAGAGCAAAATTTGACGGGAGTCGTCACGATCCGGCTCGGGGCTTGGAGTTAACCAAGCCAGGAACGGACAGTCGAACTATAGAAGAAGAAATTTGATTTACAGGTGGACCACTGCTGCTAGGTATATTTTCTTATAATGATAGTTTCTCTTTACTGTTTTTTTCAGATGTTGATTTACTGTTCAGTACTGGATTGAGATGTTATCTGTGGTGGTTTACTGGATGATTTTAATTTTATTGCACTTTGTGGATTAGTGGTTCTTTTATATTTATTAAAAGTTTTCAAAATGTAGATAGTTAGATGTTAATACCGTTTAACTGTAATTTTCACTATAGCTAATTCTAAGCACTGAGCCGGGTTGTGACAAGTCAAGTCTGAGCCAAAGGATGAATGTGCTGAGGGAGATGAGTGAAGGACCACATTAGTTTTACTTTACACCTGACTTTTCAACTCGATAGTTCTATCGATTGCCTCATCAGTGAATGACATTTGAAAGGTTAAAGACATCTGGGAAAAGCTGAAGATGACCTATGTTGGGACTGAGAACCACATGAGGTTGTTTAAGATTCAGCGTGACAGAGTTAGTGATGCATGATGACATTGATTCAGGATTACTCTATAAAACTAGAATAAATGTGGTAAGATTTTGATCATTTCTCTTCTATATCGAGCTGTAGTGATTCACGATGCAAGAAGTGGGAGATATTTGCATAGATATGGATAATACAGTTTCTGGCTCTTATGAACCCAACTTTTGATCAGAGGAGATCAGGGCCATCACTTCAATTATACAAGAGGAGAGTCACATGAGGCTGCACTCTCAGCAGAGTGGACTTCCAGGTACGCGATTAGCTTTGACTGTCTCAAGCTCATTATCGGTCAACTTTTTCGATGGATTTGAAAATATGAATATGAAAATAAATTTTGAAATTTAATTTAATATAATGTATATGGTTTAGGTTTTGAAAGTAGTATGTTTTAATTTTTTGAAAAATGAGACCAAATGGATCTCATTCGTCCAATAGTTTGCATAATCGTGTCCGATGCCGCGAATACTACACCCTTCTGAAAGATAAGTGTAGACCTCGGCGATAGACCCAATCTTGCAAACTAAGAGATTTGTGACATCCGTTTGGTCTGCGAACCTTTTTATGTATCTATAAAGGCAAGTCCCTATAGTTAATTACATCTCAAATGACTGGGGTCACTTGAGAAAACTCTCGATAATGATCAGTGGTATTAATCTTCAAGATTTCAAAGTTTAGGTTTTCATGGTAGAACGTGGAAAGACAAATGGGAGTGGCTCAAGTATGAACAGTTATTTCAGGAGTCCAAAGAAAGAAAAATGTAAGGGATGTCATAGATTAAGAGTAGGGGACTTCATAGATCTTGAGGAGAACTCTCAGTGACTTTCCAAACTATCCTATTGTATGGTTGTTTGCTTTTTTAGAGATGATGTTATTCAATTGTTCAATCATACCAATTTTATTATTTAAGACTTACATTTACATAATACCCGATTATGCAAATAGCCCGCAAAAATAAGAGGGTTTACGTCATGTTATACGACAACCTCGGAACCTAAGGCGGGTTAGGACTTACGCTGCACAACATGGTTATACAGGAGCCTAAGGAGAAAGTGAGGATTTATGTCGCGTTGGGCGAGCTACCTCGAAGTCCTATAGGTTGTTATTATGCTAGAAAGAAATCCTCCTACTACTCGGTCTGAATTCCTTATCGTGTTGCCCACAAAGTTGGCCCCAAGCTCCTGTCGTCGCGACGACTCCAGGGTAATGTTTGAAATTGGTGTTTGAAGGTAATGTTTGAAATTGGTGATTTGTGCTTCACAGTTTTGGTGTCAATATTTTGGTTTTGTTTTGTTTTGGTTTTAGTTTTGCATGGATAATAAGCAAATCGCAGGTAAATAAAATGTACTTGAAAGGTAATAAATAAAATGTACTTAAATAAAATGTACTTAAAAGGTAAAATGCAGTAACGTAAAATGCTGTAGATAAACTGTAAAAGCGTACCTAGACATCTGCTACTGTTGCATTATTAATTTTGTGAGCATAGTATGATTTATAGGAGATTTAAATAAACTTGCAAGAAAATTAAATGCAAGAAAATGAAACAAGGCGAGAAAACTCAGCACAAAAGTCAGAAAAACTAGTC